ACATCCTAATGTAGTTTTGTCGGAAGGTAAAGTAACAACATCACAAGTGTTATTTGAATGTACTGCAACCATTTCTTCCACCATCGCCTGACGCTAATTTGGATCAGTCATAGCCTTACCTGTAGACTTAGGAATAAATACAAAATTCAAAGCGAACACAAAAGACACATAGGAAGTAGAAAGACCGACATAATTTAAAACACATGCATATTTAGGATTTGGAGTATGAGATCGAATACCTTTTCGTAATTCTATTAAGAGGTTAAGTTCACGTGACGTAGATGGACGAACATTTGGAGCAGAAGGTGGTGCTGATGGATTAATATCATCTTTAACTTTCAATGGATGGGGTGTCCGTCGCTGATAGACTTGAAATAGAGGTTTAATGGGTGTGGGGATGATAGAAGGACATCCTGAGCATCTAAGTTACAAGTCTCATCGGGTGACACAGAGCCAGAGAAAAATAGGGAACCTTCAAAGAATGTAACGTCAGAGGAAACAATGTACCATTGAAGTTGAGGATAAAAACAATGATATCTTTTTTGTATAAGTGAGTAGCCTAGAAAAATACATTTTAGAGATTTGGAAGAGAGTTTGTCTTTACCTGGACTAAGATCATGACTAAAGCATGTGGAACTGAAGACGCGAAACAGAATGGGTAGAGGTAATGTTGTGGATTCAAGATAGAGTATGTAATCTGATCTTGAAGGAACGATGATGGAATTCAGTTGATAAGGTGATAGGCTATAAGGAGAGCATCACCCAAAAACAAGAAGGTACAGTGTGGTGAAGTAAAAGAGTCTGTGCGGTTTCAACTTAATGACGATTCTTCCGTTCACCAACACCATTCTGTTGTGGTGTATGAGCACATGATGATTGGTGAATAATTCTCTATGATGTTAAAAAAGATTGAAACTGGGATGACATATATTCACGAGCATTATCAGTGCATAAAATTTTAATGGAAGTGTTAAACTGGTTTTTAATTTCAGCATAAAACTCTTGGAATATAAGGAAAACATCTAAACGATTTTTCATTAGAAATAACTAAGTACATTGTGAGAAATCATCGATGAAGGTTACAAAATAGGACCCTAAATATCAAAATGAACTAAAGCAAAAGGTGATACAACATTTTTATTTACTCGTTGACAGTAAGTACTACGAGTATGTTTGCCTAATTGACACGACTGATACTCAAAAGATAAAAGCTTAGAAAAAACAGGAACTAAAAGACGCATTTTATTAAGACTAGGGTGACCCAAACGTTGATGTGTTAGGTTTTGAGAAGAAATCAAACTACATGCCACCGGTGGAGATAGATGATATAATCCTCCAGATTCACTCCATGTTCCAATTGTCTGTCCTGTACGTCAATCCTTGACACAAACAGAATTATCATTAAAAATGAATAAACTATCAAGAGTACTAGTAAGCTTGTGAACAGATATCAGATTAAAAGGACAACTAGGAATGTAAAGAAAGAACTCTAAAGACAGGTTTGGAAGTGGGTGTGCCTGATCAAGGCCTTGAACTTTGATTTTAGAACCATCAGCCACAGAGGCAGAAAGCAAAGAATCAGAATAAGACAAGTGAGATAAAAGGGATTTATTACCAGTCATATGATCAGAGGCATCAGAGTCAAGGATCGAAGGACCAAGAGAAGATGTAGATACAAAGGCTACAAGATTACCCGACTGAGCAACAACGATAGATGATGATGGTTGATGGGCTACTTTGAATTGGAGAAAATCATTGTAATCAGCGGAGGAAACAGTAATTTCTTTAGTGTTGTCTGGTTGAGCGGTGGCAGCGACCCATGGTTATCGTTGTTGTTCTCTTGCCTTTGTACGGCAATCAACTTTAATGTGACTGTAACAATTTCAATAGTTATAACGAATACCATGATGTTGTCCACCCCGTGCTCCGATTCGTCCACCACGATCATGATAATGGGTTGTTCTGGTGAGTCTCTTACACGGTATATATGAGACCTTCGTAAAAGTGGCAGAATCGGTATCTCCCATAATTTTTGGTTGCTTGAATGGAAAAACCGAGAGCAGATCTGGAAAGAGCATAGGAAGACGGTGTCGGCGACGAAAACGGCGGCGGGTGAGCGCGTGAGGGCACGACGTAAGGAGGATCACGACGGCGATTTTGGGTATCGGCTGATCGGAAGGAGACAATATTGGTGATATGGTTACTTTGTCGGAAATGTCATCGGGAGCGGTGGTGCGCTCGTGCAGTGCCGTGAATGGCAGGATATTTTGCGGAAATGAAAAAATATATTCGGGAAGACAGTGGGTCAACTAGCTCTAGATATCATATTCTTATTGTATTTCTATGTATCGAATATGATCACACTTGTTGTTTATTTATATGCAAAATAGGTATACACAATAGGTAATAACATAATTTATACTTATGACTAATTAAATGCAAATCAATACTAATTGATTTATAACTGATTCTCAATAATATTTATTTTTATTAATTTTTTGTGATTAATTTGATTGTGTTTGATAATGAGTAAAACATTCATGTTTATAATTTTTTTATGAGTTTTAGTTTTTTTAAGTTTTTTTCTCAAATGTGAACTTAAGTTCAATTCAATTTACTAAAACTCATACAAATTCAATTCACTTAAAATTCTGCAAACTCAATTCAAAACTTAATTTATGTAAATTTAAATTTTTATGTATACAATCAATAGAGTAAAAATGTGTGAATTCAAATCACATAAAATATAAAATTAGAGGATTTTTTAATGCATCTTATATGTTACTTACGCATCACGCAAAAATACTAAAATATCTCTCAAATTTCGAAAATACATCTCAGAACACACCATACGCTAACATTGTGGCACACCAAATGAGTGTCATCCTAGATGAATACTTAAAAGAAATTTTAGAGATACATCTCCGAAATTTTCAACAAATATATTCATAGTTGACTAGCCCAGTGAAATTTCATAGATGCATCTTCGGAAGTTTGGGATGAGATTTTGAAATTTACAGTCACCTTTGCATGTCATAAATTTCCGGAGATACGTCTCCAGAATAATTTGATAAAAGATAGACTTGTATGATCACACATGCATGTTTTTCACTCAAAACTGTCAACAAAAACCTTTCAATTCTCAACCCACATTTTCACTTTAAATCTCCAATCTTGTGGTTCATCACATTAAAGGGAGAAAAAGAAGTTGGAATTGCAGGTAAAGATCATTTATTTTAAATAAGTTCTGTTTTCAAAAGGTTTTATTTTCTGTCTGGTTTCAGAAGAGGTTCTAGAGATGTATCTCCGAAAAAAGATAATAAGGTGTGGAATCGGAGATATATCTTCGGAGTCAGCATGCCAAATTTTGAATGGTCCACATTTGTCTACAACTTCTATAAATTAAGGTGTTTTAGTTTTTTTATTTCACACAAATTGAAAATGTCTCAAATATCACAAATATACATCATATGATATGTCGCAAATGTTTTATTCTCTAACGCAACACACATACAAAATTTTAAGCTCGCCGAATACACCTTTGTTTGTTGATCTAAAATACTAAGTCCACAATCTCCTACCTTATGAAGACAATCAATTTCCACAATCTCCTACCTTACGAAGACAATCAAAAAATTGTCAAATTTAAGTACCATTCACCCTTGATTGACAACGGAAAAAGAAATTGTTCCAATATTAAAAAAATCAACCCAAAACATAAAACATCACTTGAAATGACTAACATTATATATATATATATATATATATATATATATATATATATATATATATATATATATATATATATATATATATATATATATATATATATATTTATTTAAGATGCATCAAGAGATGTAAATCCAAAATCTAAAAGATATTTTAATATTTTTGCATGAGAAGAACATATAGCGTGCATTAACAAATCCCTCTAAAATTATAACTTTAAACTACACGTATGTGAATTGAGTTGTGTTTTAATACACAACAGCAAACAGAATTGAAAACACATAAATTTATGTTTGAAAACATAAAAATTCATTAAGGTTTGCAATTGAATGGTCTTATGATCTTGTAATACAATAATAAAATTTTCATTAAACTTGATCACATATTTATAGATGTTAGTAAGAGAGATAAAGTGAAGATTTAGAACAAGAAATTAAAAAATATTTAAAAAATGATTAATTTATACGAATAAGTATAGTTTCGGGTGTAAATATTAAATTTTAATTAAATTTAGGTAAAACCTAATACATTTGGAGCGTGACTAGGGGAAATTTTAAGTAGCTACTAGCTTGGCTCTTTTCCTCTAATAACTACTTCCATGATATGCAAAAAATCGATGTATCTACTTTGAAATTAACATTGATTTAGGTTTTATTCTGAAGCTATTAAGGGGAGGATCCCTTTGATGCTTGTCTCTATCATAAAAGAAAGAAAAAAAAAGAAAACAATCTCTAACAAATTTAATTTTTGTACAAAAGTTTAAAAAAAGCTTTAGGTACTATCACCAACATGTTCGTAAGGAGAATGGCACTTTTTCTCCATTCAAATTTGAACTATTTACCGATCTTTCTCTTCATTTTTATTTCCCTCCATCCAAATACAAACTATAGAAATCTGAAAAACTTTGGTCAATCGGCAAGCACTCGGTTGCAGCTGTCCAGTGCAATGCATCAAGATGCTCTTTGCCAAATTCATCCCAATTTCATACCATGTGACTGACGATTTATCAATGACAGTGATTTGCTAGAGCATTTTTAAAGTTTAGGATAGAAAATCCTCGTTTTGTTCCAAGAAAATCCGCCATGACAGTGATTTGCTAGAGCATTTTTAAAGTTTAGGATAGAAAATCCTCGTTTTGTTCCAAGAAAATCCGCCGAGAGTAGGTTGCATAAACAATTTTGAAATGAGTTGAACCAAAGCATCGATTTTTGTTTATACTGCACCAGAGAAAAATGCAGAAGGAAATGTGAGTGAGCAGCTAAGCGTCGGTTCTACATAATCCCCTTGCAGATGCTGGAAGTTGAATTTATCTTCATGGAGCATTCAGGCATATAGGCAACACCTGTTACAGCAGGATGTAAATATATTTATTCATTTGAATTGATGCTCAAACACGCAGCTAAGAGATCACTACCTTTTTCCTTGACATCAATTTGCAGAGAGTCCAATGTAATTATGCCATCAGTCAATGGAAGTAGTTCAAGCTTGAGAGTGACTACAGATTTAGATGGAATACATCTGATGTAGAAACAAACGGTTTTAAATTAATCAGATCAGTTAAAAACTTCACAGAAATAAAAATGAAATCTTGTATATTACCCAAGTGGAACTCTGCTTTGCAACCATAGATGTGTACAACTAATACCAGAACTGGGAATGACATCATCACTCAAAGATACTGTCTGAGCTTTGACATCGAAACTTTGTTCCACTTTCTTTTTCATAACAGAATTGAAGCTCTTTTTCCATCTGGCACCAATACTTCTTTCACCATTTGTTCTTGCTAAAAACTCTGCGAAACCAATAAAAGGACTCTTGGGAGTCGTCGGTGAATTCAGGGAAACTACTGAAGGGGGTGAAGTAAATGAAGCTGGAGCTAGAACTGTCAAAGTCAGATCTTCAGATGTCAAATTTGAAGCTTGAAGTGTTAAGATCTGACCAAATTAAATCAATGAAACTAAATTAATAATGGTTTTCTGATAAAAGTATAAAGTAACTTAGCTTCAGTTGGGACATAATCAAACCAAAACAAATGAGCTCCTATGTGAGGTTTCAACATACAAAAATTAAGCATATATTAACCTGCACAGGAAGTTGATAAGTTTTTTCATAAGCTCCAGGAGGTTTTCCAGACATCTGTGATGCAATAGAGATCATGATATCCCGCGAGGCTCGTGGTCTCCAACTAGTTGGTTGTTTAAAGAATAACCTTGATGCTAGATTAAGTGAGAAAACCACATGAAAACAACAAATTAACACCGTAGCATTCACTAGATAGCACAAAAAGAAACAAGGAGACAAAAAGCCTACATGTATAATTGCATCGACATGACACCATGATTGCATAGTGATCAAGACTTAATGTTGATGTTTTATTTCCATATGGTAGCTTTGACAAACGGGAATTTCTATCATCCTGAGCCTTGAGACTCTTCAATGTAGAAGTTTCTGGTTTAACGATAAAAGAATGTTCTTCACCTCTCCTGTAAGAAGAAACATCTAGTAAGATTAAGACAATTATTAGAGCTAATTATATAAACGAAATTATGATTTATCTAAGCATATTTTCCTAATATATATTCAAATTGATTTCAACACAAATTGATTTTACTAAGCACAATTATTTTTTCCCTTATTGTCCTAACATCTATTCAAATTGATTTCAATACAAAAAGATACAATCATTGTCTTCACTGTATATGAGCTGATAATTATTTGTTGAAAACAACAACCATTTCTTATCCCACTTAATAGAGTCAGCTACATGGATCCAATTCCGCCATAATGTTCTATCCAAGACCATGTTTCCATATTTGTTGAAAACATCATAAAAATATGATTGGCCTATTGCAGTGAATGTTGAGCATTAGTCCAACTAACTCATTCACTTTAATGGATATATGGTAAATTATCAACATGATAGAAATAGTACTGAACAGTGGTAATTTGCACCATACAAACACTATTGATAGCAATTCTGACCAATGATTCACAATCTCTCAGAACATGCATATACAATTGAATAGCCAAGAATGTAGCATATCATGATATACTTATATACAGAAAGATCATAAACATTGTTAGGCATCTGCTAAGATATTTATTCAGAAAAATAACCTGAGGGCTAGATTTGGTAAAGAATGATCATTTCCAGTTTCAACACATGAAATTGGAAATGATGACACTGCTCCATTTTTTGTAGACTCCTCGAATATGATATTTATGCCATCTATAAATATCACAATATCTGGAGCATGTGCAGGAGCAACATTCTGGAGAACAAATTAAAAACTGTTGATAAAGAACAGAGAAACAAGTGATAGTAGACAGGCAGAAAAGAGAAGCATAAAATAATACTACATAACAGTATTAAAAAGTAACAGTCATATAATTTGATTTGTGAAATCATAGTTCAAACCTTTATCTGAACACAAAGAAGATCCTCTGAATTAAAGTCAGCAGCAAAAGAATGAATCTCTACAGGTTGAATTATTTCAAGATTCCTTCTCCACCTTCTACCAGGTATATAGACGCCTTCTAATCCACAACAAACAGAAAACCTGTCTCGCTCCAATGAGACACCTCGAAAAGATAGAAGTTCTTCCACCCCAGTTTTTTTCCAAAAATAACTTTGAGATGAAATTTGATCCCAATCCTCTAGGTCAAAGTTTGGCTTAGAACTAGCTGCTTTAACAGGAGCACTGGGTGCGTTTGTAGTTTGCGGTAATGATGACATGGAGTAACTTCGGAAATTTCCAAAAGCAAATAATGGAGAGCCAGTTGGTGCTGAATAGTTGGACCTATGAGAAGTGCTACCAATTCCTGAATTTGAAGTTAAATGATGATGAGATTCTGGGCGCGTAGGAGGCCTCACATTTTCCAACGGAAGTATCCAATTTAACAGCTCTGCACATGGATCTTGATTTGTACAAACTTCTTTCACCTGACTATTGGGAGACAACGTTCTCTCCTGACACTTTTCAAATTGGAGAACTTCTATACAAGGGTCTTTAAGAAAATTTACACTAACATTCGCGTGTAAAAGAACCTGCATCCTTGCAAACAGGAAAATTTAATTAGATCAAGAATCAGAGTAATTGAGATGACTCAATCATAATTAAGAGATTCTGCATATTGAAGGCTAAAAACACCTCAAGAGTTGAGATGTAGTTACATAGAAAGCATTTTAGGATCAATTAAGATTTTCCAGAAAATTTTCATGAATGATACCAGCAGCATTAAAGAGGCAAAACAAACACCAACAAACACCACAAGAAATTTAAAATTTAACAAATACATAAGTTCAATAAAAGAAGATAACAACGTGATTGCATGCAAAAGAGAAGTCTGGAGCAAAGCAACAAATTCCTCGTTGTAAAAAATATGGTCTAGACAAGCTATATTGCAGGCCCAATTATCATCATATCCATAAAGAGATTTATGCGACAAATGCACCATATAAAATTATTATAATGTCTATTATAATGCTGTTATACCATGAATAAAAGCAGAACATATAGTAAAGTTATTGCATAATCTCATATAGATGCACTAAAATTTACAGATTTACTGAAAGATTCACCACAAGTTTCACTAGCATTGTATCAGGATGAGCTAGAGAATTGAACTGTAAATTCCCAAGTCTTAATCTAGTAAAAGCTACTTCTCCATAAAGATAGAGTATGAATCTGAATAATAATTCTATGGAAAAAGATTTCATTACCAAAAAGAAAACTAGATCTGGTACGACAACAAGATATCTTTCAAGAGAAAAACTATATAGTATATATAAGAAAAAGATGTAAGAAAAAATGATGTGCAATCTGCATGTCAGTAAGGACAAACCCCTTGAAAAAATTATGAGATGAGCACCAAAGAGGATCCAATCAATCCATAAACCTAATAATATCCAATAACAAGTTTAGTAGCAGCCCCCTGGATATTTGGACCATCTAATCAAACACTGACAAGACAGAGGAAGACAATGTCTTTAGGCAAGAAAAAAATATTGGCCCTAAATAGAGGCCCCTCATCTCAATAGGATATTGTGTCTATCTCGAATTTCACTGCAGAGTCATTTTTGCAAGGGGGGCGTATGTATTAAGAAAAAACTAAAATATATTTTAAAGTTAATTTGTTTAAGAAAAAAAATTAACATAATTTTTACTTATCTATAACGAAGCAACTACAAAGGAAAAAAAAATTTGATGATAGTTGTTTGAAAAAGTTGAGTTTGGCAACACTTCGACAAATCAAATCATGACTAATTGACTCTTTATTAAATAGATTAACGTCTTTTTTAATTTTTATATCTCCTTAGTCAAAAGAATTTGTTTGATGTAGCTAAATCTATATTATTAAGATAGCTAAATATAAAAAAAACACTTACATTTTTTTAGATGTAAATTATACATGTTAAAAACAATCTCTTTTATTTGGGGGGTAGCCAAAGCTCCGCCCTCTGATGTCATTGCCATCAGACAATAAATTTTGAGGTCCAAACAAACAAAATTTCTGTCTCTCTACCAACTTAAAAGAAATTAATTGCATTCGCGTAGTTTCCAAAAGTTGCGATACATACCACTATGTCTCCATTAGGTAAAGCAAAACACTTGACAGAATTTCTTGCCGTTCCGCCACAAACAGTTGCATCAAAATTTCCTTTATCAATAACTGTACCAATGGAAGGAAGTGTGTTCTCTTTAGTTTTAATTGTTGGGCCTTTCTGACTATTGGCTTCAAAAGAACTGGAAAAAGATTCTACAGAGCTTCTTTTGGACCAAAGGGGCTCATTGGCCTCAGAAATCCTCACAAAGAAGTGAGAATTTTCAAATTTTTGCAACAGCAATGCAGTTTGTCTATTGTGAACTTCCGGCTGCTCTTCACCGCTGGTACTCAATTCTTCTCCAGATACTAAAGTATTTCTGTTTTCAATGCTTCCATTTTCTTTCTCGAGGCTTTGACCTCGGCCATTTTTACTTATCATTGCTGCAACTTCAAATGGAGTAGTAATCTGTGTATCCTGCTTAGATGCAGACAAGCATGCCAAGATATGAACTTGTTCACCTGAATTATTGGTATAAATTAGGTCCGCTCAACTTTTTTTGGAAGCCAGCTGACCAAATCACACATGCTTCAACTGATATTTGCATATTTAAAGAATGAATCAATCTAATACCCGGAAAAAGAAAGGAACGATCAAGAGGGCGCAATGATTGTATATCTGGCTCATGATCCCAGTTTTCAGGAAGTTCCCCTACAAAATAGAATAAGATGTATCACGTTATATTATATATGCAGAGCAACCAAGCACATAACATAACATCACATAAAATTCTTCGAAAAGAAAATGTTTTGCTTAATTCTACCATTGAACTAAATGCCAACGAAAATCATGCCATGATTATAATTACATTCCTGTGCAAAGCAAATAACAATCCAAATTAAGTAATTGCCTCTAGACCAAGAAAAGAAGAGACAATTGAAACAAGACAACTTTCCCCAACCATTACTATTGAAAAGCTCAACATATAGCCCATCTAGATATCAATTCAATTCCCCATTTATAATGTAACTGCATTTGCACCACAAAAACTCAACATGGTTCCCCATATCATGGAGAACAAGACTCTTTCGCTAGACATAACCAAAGCTGGTTCACACATAAGTTTTTCACAAAAACCGATACCAAGTTTATAGCACTTGCATCCCTTATCGACCACTTCATTGCAATTAAAAGATTATGCATTTACAATAAGTCCACTTCACGCCGTTAACCTGTAGGAGAACAACCATTTCCCCTCACTTTCTACCAACAATCATGACGAAGTTTTCTTTCACACTATTCAAAATGCTCAAACATAAAAAGTAATTAAAAAGCACAATTAACAAAAACAAAAGCATCATCTCCAATAACTTGGAGGATTTGACACGAGTAATCACTTTAAAGATTAAAGTAAGCAATGTCAACAATTGATAAATAAGTGTCTGTTTGGTTCTGGTTCTATGGTGACAAGAATTAATTCTGAGTGAATTGCTTTTGTAGAATTGTTTCTGGTTAAAAGTGAGTTGAATGTAAAGTGATTTATGTTTTGATACATTTATGTAAAAGTGAGTTGAACAATACATTTCATCCTAAAAATCTCTCAAAAGCTACAAATATTAACTTCAGCTAAAGTCAATTCTACTTTTGAGAAGACAGACATGTCAAAATCAATTCAAAATCAATTTTACACCTCTAGAATTGCTTTTGCCCCTTCCAAAATGGAAACCAAACATACACTAAATCAGCAGTTGATTGCAAATGACATGCATAATAAATCATATAAGTTTCAAATTTTCAATTGTTGGTTTATTCATCAACTATTAACAACATTACTAGCAAACAAATTGCTCCACTAGCTAACTCTTTCAAACACAAATTAGCCCTAACAAACAGGAAAATGATTGATGAAGCAAACACATACTGCACGGAATGGTGATCCATCCTTCATCTTCAGAAACATCAATGTGCTTATCAACAACCACAGCCGGCAAATCGCGATGTTTCGAATTCAATTCAACATCACAATCATACCGCGAGTAAGGAGCGTCAGATTTATGAGCCTCGTAAGAAGATCCAGCGGATGCTGATCGGTGATGAACATCAGCGCGAGGTTCAGGAATCGGAGTGCGTTCTGAGTACACGCTCGTTGTAGAACGTATCAAGAAATTCATTGTGCACGCTACGAGAGATTTGAAGAAAAAATGGAAAATGAAAATTGTCAGCGAAATTGAACTATTCGATTTCAGAGAAAATGCGGAATGAATCGGAATGAACAGAAACTGAATTGGAATGGTTGATTATTAGGTTACCTGATGAATGTGATGATTAAAAGAGGGAGATTGGAAGGTGTAGTTGCGATCAGTGAGGACGTTGATTTGATCTTGTATTCAATCTCCTGAATTGCATATTTTCGAACACGATTTTTTTTTGTTGATTCTAATTTCATTTTAACAGTATGGTAGTTTTTTTAGGAGGTATCAAAGAAAAAAAAAACTAATAATTGAAATTGAAATTTGATAAACTATTAATTATCTTGAGTTTAATTTTGATCTACCTTAGATTAAATTGATTTAAGATTTTAATTTATTTATAATAAATTATTTTGAATATGTGGCATGACATAAAATAGTTGAATGATGGTATATGTTTAGTAAAACTTTTAATATTTCTATACTAAGAGGATTTTGTAATGATTTGTTAGGGTTATAGGTAAAAAAACGAAAGCATTAGTCTGATTTGTAGTCTATCATAAGTTTATTTTTATATTTGAGTTTGGCATTTTCTAAGACCTGTTTAACATGTTAATCTACCTAAAAGCCTATTATTTTAGACATATATAAATAAACAACTAAAATAATATTTAAATAGACTAACAAACTAGAAAATTAATGAGACTAAAACGTGGTTTGCATTGACTTATTTTAACTCACCTATTAACATAAATTTTGCGAGACTATTTATTTAAGATAACTTATGAGAACAACTTATAACAGTGTTCATAAAGTGTTTCATCTTATTTTCATAAGTTCTTCAAGATAATCAATTTTTATTTATGTAATTTAATTTAAAGAACAAAACATAACATACTGATAATAAAATAAATTATTTATATTTATTTATATAGGTCGGTCTGTTAGGTTTAAAAGATTTTTTCATGGCCTGAGTTCTAACCTTTTTAATTAAATAGGATTATAAAAAAGCCTAGGTCTTTTCTATTTAAAAAAACTTGGCCTGTCGGAGTCTATGTAGGTTAGGTCGTAGGCCCCTTTTATCGACCTGGCCTATTTACACCATTAGTTAGGGCTTGCTCAAGATGGTAAGAGATTTTGTTTGGTGATTGTCGCTACTGCGAAAAAAGAAGGCTGGCAATGACTAACAGAGTCGCCACCTATCGTTATTTATCCCAAAGAGAGGGAAAGGAAACGATTGGAAAAACCTGACGAAAACGGGAAAAGACGAGGTCGTCGCAACCAAGTCCTAGGTTCGGGAGTCGGTTACGCAAAGGGAAGGTATGAGCACCCCTCACGTCCGTCGTACTCGACGGGATCTACGCATGCGTTGTCTAGCTAAAAGGGTGTGTAAACTATCTATGCTAAAGGCTTATGGACAAAAGAGAAAGAAAAAGAACTGACTCGGCAGAGCATCGCCGCTCTGTGCCTACATACTCCCTCGTGCAATGGGAAAGTCAGAGTCAACGTAGTTCACCCAACTACGGCTAAAGAAGGGGGAAGGTTGCTCGCTAAGACATCGCGTCTTATGCCTATGTACTTTCATCTGGTATGAAAGATCAGAGCAAACGTAGTTCAGGCTTACGAGAACACAGGCTGTTCAAAAGTTTTACCCGAGTAGGGTTAACAGACAGTTCTACCAGTTGGTGTATGCAGCTCGACCATTGGAGACTTAGGCGTTACCGTTTGCGATAGGACTGAAAGTTAACAACACTCTTGCTTATGAAAAAAAGGTTTTCCTGATTAAGATCCCGAAGGATAAAAATATTTGAAGTGTTTTTGTGTTTTTTAAAGAAGAAGTGTTTTGAATTAGAGTGTTCATAATGTATGTTGTAACAAAGTCTAAAACCTAGGATCGAATGCGTCGCATATCGTCCTAAGGACGTATACTAAACACTCTAGGCAATTGAGAGGTAACCACTCAATCACCATTTCCCAAGTACAAGGCTCATGGCACAACATTCATTATATTTATTAAGTGAATTGAAGTTGTTTGAAGATGAGAAGATAAAGGGGACAAACTAAGGGGGACTAGACCAAACCCTAAAAGTTGTCATGCAAAGTGCACCTAAAGTTGAGTTTGAAAGGGAACTACCTAATGTTATTATGCATGGTTAGAACCCTAATGTCTATCATAAAGAGAGGTTATAAATCCTATAGGAAGGAAGACAAAAGAAGAAGAAATAATAAGAGGAAACAATGCAAATGAAGAATGCAAACACAAATGCAACAAGTAAGAACACATAGGATGAAAGTGGGAGGAAAACATGTGTGGGGTTGTAGCCACCACAAGCTCATCTCAACCAAGCATGCATATGAATACGCAAAGAGAAAAAGGAGAGAGATGCATCAAAAACAAGTAACAAAAACAATGAGAAAAAGTCCTCATGAATTCATTACTTTAGGTAAGTTTCAAGTTCCTCCTAAGGAGGGACCAAACAACCTTAAGTAATACTCCAAAAGTCATGGAACAGAATGGGGGATGAGGAGAGAGTGCACAAATGCAAAAGCAAACACATCACAAGAGAAAGCAAGCATATAAGTCAACACTTAAGTCACATAAGCAAAAGATAATCACACAATGAAGACATGAAATGGAAAAGGTATGAAAAATAGTAAACAGCCCCTAAAAATGCCTAATAAAATCTCATTGGACCCCTAAGGTGTTAGGAACCAGGGGTCCAAATTAGAGATCAAAACTCCAAGCACAGCTATCTCAATGAAAGCAAACACATAAGGTATGCCCTAAACTAGGGCAAAAGGAAAGGTTCACAAAACCAAATCAAAACACTAAGCAAGACTTGATAAAAAAAACAGAAATAAAAATATACAAAAATCCTTCAACATGTTAATGCAATGCACAAAACATTTCATGCAAAAATAAAGAGTTTACACCTAGAAATAAAATCAAGAGAAAACAATGCTGCAATTTAATTCAAATAAAACATCCCCAATTAATTAATTATTTTTTAAATGAAAATAAACTGAAAAAATAAAATAAAAATATGATAAAACAAAAAACAAGTCAAAGTGTCTAAAACCTATTTTTGGTGAATTTAAATAATTGGGGAGTTATTTATAATGAATTAAATTGTAAACAGAAAAATAAAACAAAATAAAATAAAAAATAAAATAAATAACAAGCAAATGGTGCAGTTAGCAAAAGAAATTAGTTGAAATATTGGACTGGGCTCAAGAGGGGGTACTGATAGTAGAAAGCGCGCTAGGCCCAACAAAAAAGATTCAAAAATGAAATAATCCTGGAAATCACGTGCAACAAGTCAAACTAGGCGTACCATGGACATGCAATGTGAGACGTGTGATTGTTTGGTATGCTCATCATGTGGCTTACATGCTGACAACACATTAATGAGGATTTAAAAGAAATGTAGTGTGATTCGGTCAACATGGATGCACCGTGCATCTTAATCCCACGCGTTGAACAAGAATTATTCCCATCAGACGCTCAAAACAGTATCACGCAAGCGTCTTCAACCTCACTCCCTCTCACCGGCGCCGGAACAGCTCCGGTCGTCCCTAACCTCGCGTCGACCGCCGCGAGCTGCAAGCAACACCACAGCTCCCTCGTTTTTTCACCGTTATGCACAAATCTTAGATGAAAATTCATCTACTCTTTGCAAGGATCAAGAATCCAGCCTCTATTTCAATTAATTCCTCATAACCAAATCAAAAAGTGAACAACAAGCTTGGTGCACAAATTTTCGAAGTCCTCAAAACTCAACCAAATTAATCCTAACATCATCTACATGTTATGTAGATCATAGATCCACAAAAATCTAAGCAAAACACCTCAAGAATTGATCAAACCGAATCAAACAAGTTTCAAGCCATCAACAAAAGTTGTCACTGACAGTCACAAAACATAGACAGAAACGATCTATACAACTCAGAGATTACAAACAAGCAAAAATGGCACAGAATGGCATCATGAAATGAGAGAAATTTGAAAGGTAACTTACCTAGTGGAGAGCCTCCACTGGGCCTTGAAACTATGTTGAAGCTTAATGAAAAGTGCCCATAATCATTCAATGAACGTCATTAGAGGTGTTTGAATGCTCAATTTGGTCTGAAAATGGATGAATCTCAGAATTCGAATTCCACATTGCTCTCACTTTTTCTTCAAGTGTTCTTGCTCCTCTTGCACGAAAATGACCTAATTCTGATCCATTCTTCATCTAGAATATTTATGTGTTGGGTTTAGGATCAAATGGGGGCCCAATTGTGGCTAATTTGGAAGAATGGAAATTCAATTTGCACTCGCTTTTTGCTTTACCAAACACACAAATTTCCCACTATACATGCTTCAATTCTGATCCAAATCAATTGCACATGGCTTTGGTTAATCAAAGGGTCAAGAATTAGCCCTTGTTTTTTATCCTATGGTAGATTTCCAATTTGTTACTTCATGGTGAAGAAACTATAAAAATGGCTAACCAAATGACCTCAAATGGTAAATGTGAACATGGAATTGAATTTAGAACATTAAATGCACTCAAAAAATGCATAAATTTGCTTTGAACAAGTTCCAAATCAATTAATTCTCAATTTCTCACTTTAAGCCTCCTTTATGAAAAATTCAAATCCCAATTCTTCAATCCAAGCCCCTACCATGATAAGAGATGATTTGGTAATGCAAATGGCCCTATTTGGAGCAAGTTTCATGTTGAAAAGATTTCCATTTGAAGTGTGCAAGTTGGTGAAATGGACCTATAATTTTATGACCTGTAATCTTACTTTCCCAAAATACCCCTGATTTGTAACCCTCATAACTTGAGTTCTATAAATCAGATGAAAGACTTCTAGTACAATTTGGAAAGCTAATACCAAGAACTACAACTTTCATGTTGGCCAAAAGTTAAGGAGAAACATCCTTCTAGGTCAAAAATGGATTTGAAGTTGGTTGACTTTTGTTGACCAAAATC